TTTCATGTATGAAGGACAAACTCTTGCCGTAATCAATCCTGCTTTGGGATGCGCCGTTGCATTCGACACCATTGAGAATTGTAGTGACGTTTTGGAAGCGCATGTGGCCTATACAAAAAATTCAGTGACCAGCCGATGTACAAGTCAGTTTCAGAGGAAAGAGCACATTTTTCCTTTTATTATGTACAGTCCCACCAGATATTTCCTACTTCCAAAAACGTTTAAAGCTGCTCATTCTCAACTTTTCAAATGTATCTTCTCCAAGAATTTTAGGCTGACCAGATCGTTGTTGGCCTTAGTTGCCAACCCTCTTGAATTGTTGAGAATAAGGTGGAAACTCTTCATTATGAAGCAGATACATCCTGAATTTCTGGGAGTCAGCACACGCTTTCCTGCTGAATCCCTCTTCTCCCATCGACAATTACAATGAATTACCAGATACTGTTCAAGGTCAGACCAAGTGAAAGGTTTTTTGGTGAAAATCGGGTGAATTTCAGTCAGCCAGTGCCCAAAGTTCAATCTCGATGACTTCTTACGTAATCTATCCTTCACTGCGGCAAAAGTGCATCGCCAAACTTCAATTTACAGTGGTTGGATTTCAATCAAAATGTAGGACGCTGTTCATCTAGTGTTGATAAGGGGCGGATGAGGATCTGATACACTGCAATTATTCAGGTCAACTAAGTCAGCAACAAAGTCATCGCCAAGTTCTCAATAAATCTTAGAAATGGAAGAAAGAAACCCAAAAATCACAACTGTACGGAACCCACTTCCCGTGGATTTGGGTGACTATACAAATCTAATTATTCCAATAAGAACCGAGGCGTTGTAGTGGCAAGTGGTGCAGTATCTCACATGCACGGTCACGAGTTCGAATCCCGGATCAATATCCACATAAGCCAGCTACGCTTCCCAACCCTTCGGGGCAAGTCATTTCGAACCAGACTCGCGTAGGAGGGTAAACGCACTGACTTGTACGTGGGCGGACCACCGTAAGCCATTGTATAGGCCTCATACGTATTCAATACGCCACTACGAGTTGGAATAGTAGTTGGATGCAAGGCGCATTCCAAAAGATTGATTGATTACCGCGGAAATCTTCGATTTTATTCTTCTATTTTCAACGATCCAAGTGGATTGAGATTCAAGGTAAGCACCGACCGCATCAACAAGAATTCTTGAGGATGAGTCCCCTCAAATTTCTTTAGAACAGGCCTTCCCATTCTGTTGAGGAATACTATAGTCTGAACTGGAAACGGATGCGTGAGCGTCTTCCGGGAACACCCTCCTGTAACTAGTTACAAGTTCTGAGAAACTCGTACATTTTCCCACATAGGTGTGTTATGCAGGGCGTACGGTCACTTTGGTGGTGTTCTGTACTAACCTGACCTACTGTATCGTCCATGGAGAAAGTGCAATGGCACTAAATTTTAACGCCACCAAAATAGTCTTTTTCTATCACCACGCGCGTGCGAGTGTTCCGTCCTTGGCTTTTTTAGTAGGATGACTTAGAGACAAAAATGTAAATGATAAATTATTGTGACCTTATTGTTCTTTACGTAATATGACTCTCACGTGTGATGGTGACAACCGTAACAGCAATGAATTTGGATTTCTCATGGAATTTTACCCGCCCATAAGTAGTTTTTATGAAGTGTTGCAACTGATCAAAGCTGTTTGCAAATATCCCACTCCCATATAAATGGGCTCTCATGAATTTTGCAGCTTCTCACGCGTTCTCTCCTCTCAACAACCATACTAAGGCACTCATCAATCAATAGTCTCTGTAATACTGATTCCGCTATTCCTACTACTCCCAAAGTCCTTTTCAACTCAACCAGCCAACAAATTTCACTGAACTCCTTCTCTTTCAGCGCTGAGGTGGTGTAGTGGCAAGTGGCGCACACTATCACATATGTACATGGTCTGAGAATCTAGCCTCGGAACGTTATCCTCCTTCCATCCGTCCGGGATCGGATATCTAGTACCAGACTCGTCTAGAAAAATAAAAGCGCTAACCAGTGCATCGGCTGATCTCAGTCACTCATTGTATAGACCACATTTGCTACGATTCTGAGTAGGAGTAGAAAGCAGAGTGCAGCCCTGATTGACGCGAAACCTTGATCCTTTATGTTCCTTTCTGCTATACATAGCAGCCATCTCACGCGCAGAGCCTAAGAATTGGAACGGTGTGGTTCCAAATTGATTGAGAAATGTTACAGTTCACATCAAACTCGCATTTTCTTTCATTCAAGGCTATCAAAAATTGAGAATGGCCCTTTGGAAATCCACGACACTGAGCACCCAACCTGTTTCTTTTTTTCCGTTGAACAAGAAAAGCTTATTTTTCTCTCGTTGTCCAGTTTTTTAATTGTAAGTCAAATTTTCAAAATAGAGTAGAGGTGCTAAGTACAACTGGTGGGTTCTATACGCTTTTCATTAGACGTCATAGCGTGGATGGGTTTCAAGTCTTCGCCGACTACTATTGTAAGGAGTGAGGCCTCTACTTCTCTCTTCGGAGCAGCCATTTAATTGGGATCTGGGCGCAACAAATGTGAAATTCCATTCATTTTTGGTGCCCCTGTAATTGAAATGCCCAGGACGTCCAATCTCTTCCCCTTCCCTTTCAAGTACTGTATGGTGTCTGAACGAAATGCCCAGTCCTATCTCTTCTCCTTCCCTTTCAAGTACTGTATGGTGTCTGAACGATAAACACAAGAAGCTGTCATAAACGGTTTTTTAGCACTACTCGATAAATCACGATCTCTACTTCATTACTCGGATGTTTCTGAGGATTTCGTTGGCTAGAGAGATTTCTTGGGAGCGAAAATTGTGTCATCAGCTTCACTATTTGAGGAATGTGGATTAATGGTTGAGGCATAATCATAGGAACGGTTCATTAGCCCAAACTGTCTCTTTGAATTGGGTTGATGAGGACTATCAGCGCGCATGTACTTGTTGCATCGTGTATTGATTTTGATTATCGAATATTTACGATATAAGAGACTCTACAACGGTCCCGAAAAGAGAATTAGAAACTTGCCACCTAGAAGTTTAGTGGTCCGATAAGAAGACGTAAATTGGTGAAACTGCGGTCTACTGACGAAAAAATAGCCTTTTGCCTCATAACCCAATTTCCTCTTCGCTCTCATTGTCAGGGAAAGGAACTAAGCGGAGTAACTGCAGCGTTTTCTTTTTTTTGTGGATGCCGAATGAGGCCGTTGAGTTTTGAATGCCTTTATTCTTCCCTTTTATAGAGGGAACGAGGAAGAAAATTACTGCGTACGAGTATACACTGCGCCTTAAAGGCATTGCGCTGCAGCCATTACCCTCTCTTACGTTTCTGAAACTTGCCCAATACGTCCACGGAATATACGGAATAATCATATCAGTGCTTGCAAAGCACAACACATACAACACACCACCCCCAATCACTACCTGTATCACCTGTCCTCCCGTTGATCACCGATTACCTCAAGCAAGCGTCAGTGATACCTCCATTCGTCCCTCTCGCGAGCTAGAGTGGTCCAGTGAATCGTCCTCGCTCGAGGGACATGGAACATTCCTATAGTTCAGAGCTTTCGTGGGGAAGTCTGACCATCGCGTTGACGGCGGTCCTGGTGTTCGCCTGACGACCCGTGGGATCCAGTAAGTAACCGCGACCTACGTTCATCAGATATCGCATCAAATGTTCGGCCCATCTGATCTTCAATTTCTTTGCGTGAGCAACTGCGCTTCCTTGACGGAGCTCGCAACTCCGGATTCCCTTCTGCATTCGCGTATTCACATTATGACTTTGACAGTATGGTAATCCAGTTTTCGCGAGTCCAAGTCTCCGAGGGTATGTCAAAGCAGGAAGGACTGCAGAGTCGAAAATGTGGGCGTGAAGCCGGATATTCTGTGTCTTCTTCAGCGTTCCATAGATACTCCTCAATGCTCCCTACACGGCCCTATGAGCATCGTCATCGTTGAGTTCAGCCTAAAAAGCCCAGTTCACGATGAAAGTGGTTTCTGGATAAACCTGTGACCCTCGAGGATCGTTTGAGAGGCGCTGTCGGGTCAAAAAATGGCCAAGATGAGACGCAATAAAGGTCTCAAATTGGCTCAGCCGACGTATACTCCGGAGGCGGACGAGTTTTTGAAAGCTGTAAAAGGTGCAGAGGTTGCACCATTCACACCGGGACCCGCATCTTGCACACAGGAAACCTACTGCAGCGAGCGGTATGCAATGGCGCACACATCTAAATAATTCCTCAAAAAAGCTCTTCCATACAACTCTGTTGCCACTTTTCGTCGAATCGGTAACTTTACTCCTTCTTTGAAACCTTTTAAATATTTAAATGAACCGATTTCCGCGTTTTCTCCGCTACTTGCACTATTCTGACTGTTACTCCATCACTTGTCTAGAACTATAATAGAAAATCCAAAATTATGGAGAACTGCGCCTTTGAGCCGATCTTTCTGAAAGCGTTGTCTGATTCGGCTAGCATTCGTTTCACCTGCTCTATGTTTTGTGTTATAAACACAATTTGATCTGCAGAGCACAAATTATGTAAGGAGCGGCTGTCGACCTTCCCTCCAGAGTCTCCTCATTCCAAATGTCTCGAGAATTCTTCTTCCTCCCACTATCCTATCGGAGCGGAACTAAAAAGTTTGGGCGAAATTGTATCGCCTGGCCGAACCCCTCCGTTCACGTTTATGATGACTTTTTATAGAGCCCGAGGCTTCGATTACCGCTTCTGTTCCGCCCGTAACGGTCTCCTTTAATTGGAACCCACTACGAATACCAGAATTCCTTCAACAAGGTCAATACAAAACCAGCGTCTCCCGTGCTCTTTCTTCTTCCCACTGGTCTCTGTACTTAGCACTGCACTGCACTTGCCACTGTATATCACGTCACTACTATCTTATTTACACTACTTCTACCACCTGCACGCTCCCCTTCCAATTCAAGAACTTTGTTACAGTGACGAAGGTATCAATTGAAATTCGGGGAATTGTCTGTACTAGCTTAGCTAAGTCTTATGGAGAAAGGTCAGCAGCCACCTAATCACGGGAATGAGCGAAGGTGCGAATAGAACAAGACCGTTATGCTCAGATCTTAAGTTGCAGGCTGTCGACAGCTCTGATTTCGTTTCTTGCCAATTCGTTGCCGTTAGCGTTTACAGCTTACTGTTTTACTGAACATTGACTGTCTATCTCTACTTTTTACAGGGAGGCTAGGCAAACTACAGCTATTTATACGAAATCTTATGGGATATTCTGCAAGAAGTCGCCAGATTCGGTGAAATGAACTCTCCAGCATCATTAGCACTTCTTATACTGTTACTCATCAATACGGTAAGCGTTCATTAATACTAAGTACTGTGTAAATGCTAGTACTCTGCTGTTGCTATACGGTTCTTCGAAAACCCATTTTAGTGCCGTCATAGGCGCCCTCCCAGCGAGATCCATATCATGTGGTTTTGTTGTGTTTTGCGGAAAGCAAAATTCTGAATTTACCTTTAGAGTCAAGTAACTGGCCTCACTCAAACACTAGTGAACACCATCGAGGGGGAAGGAAGGGACGTGCGGAAGAGGGTTCATGTTTTCAAGAAAGCGTCTTTCTTGAGAATATAATTCACAAATTGGAAAAGGTTGGCAGCAATTTGAAAGAAAAGCAAAAACGATATAACGGAACATAGAAGAAGTACTGCTAAGAAGTAATTATTAATATTTCCTCGAATTCGTCACCCTAGGAGTGCGTTCCCTTCAGTTTTGTTATCAAAGTTGAAAGCAAACCATTTTCGGACCACAATGTAATCAACCTTCGCCGAAGGCCGCCAGCCTAATCGCTACGTGAAAGCCTCAAAAAGGAGGCAGTACAGACCCATACCTCGGCACTGCCACTACTATGATAAAGGGAATGTTTCCATATTCTAAGCTCAACTATTACAGCAAAAAAAGCAATTTGAAAGTTTCTCTCGTTTTCACATTGAAAATGGCTCTTGGACATTTACCGACTTTCAATTTTTCAAGAGCCACGATGTCATCTCCGAAAAGCCGCTATCCGAGGAAATAAAAGAAGCTTCACTCGACAGTAAAAGTTTCGAGAAAGTGAAGCAGATTCATAGGAATTGGTATTACTTCGCCTTGAAGGCCCTTATGGGACAACTCGCCAAGGAGATGCTACACAACATCGACAGTCGTAAGTTTCAAAACTGAATTCTGTCGTAAAATTGGCCTCTAGCAATTGTTAGCATTTTCGTTTACAAGTTGTTTTCCTTTCCCATCAGTTACATAGAAGCTGCCGTACTTTGTCGTCAACGAAGAACGCGATACACTCATTGATTTGAATCTTGTAGAGCTGATTATCAGTCCATATCAGTCGTTATCACTTCCTTCCATACATCGCTTGTTCAACGCCGCCTACATATAATAACATTCATGTATATTTGCACAGGCAACGGGGTTAATAAGGAAAGCATGGCAAATTCAGTGTCACATTCCAACACCTTTTATCAGCCGTGATCACTCTTCCCCATAAACCATCAAAGTTGCAGTTTGAATGCAGCCTCATAAAGTAAGACCAAGAAAGAGGAGCTCCCAAATATTTCTTTTTCAGAATCAGGCGAATGGTTAAAGCTCTGCCTGAGACGAATCATTACCGCTAAAGATCTGAAGTTAACAGCGATGTGTCTCACCAAAACCAAAAGAAAGTGGGAGCGGTTCAAGAGAGAAAATAAGGCAAGGTCAGTTCGACGGGTTCTCTTATTATACATTATTAAGCCCCGAATAGAATAGCTCTGATTTCATCTCTCATTTAGCATTATCTTTAATATTAATTGGTCGCATATTTATTTAGGCTTGAAAGCAATGAAACAGTGGCGTTCAAGCAAGAACCCGAGAAGCACCGAAATTTGATCTCAAAAGCGAGAAAGTTAGACTTTAACAAGTTGAATTCTGCAAAATTTCTATCGAAAAGGGCCGATCTAATGAAAAGGAAGGTCTACAAGGCAACTAGTCCACAGAGGCGATGGAAACGAAGTCCCTATAGGCTCGTCGAACCGGATTTAGATAACAATTTGAAGAAAGTAAGATTTTCTTTTAATTCAAATGTTTTATCATCTTGTGCGGTTCCGAATACATTATGACATAGGGTTAGTTAAGATTGAACTGATAAGAGCAAAAAGTAGGATAGCTTAATTATAAATGAAAGTGGTAAAGGTGAAAGTGGAAAGAGTTTCGCGTGTAGGGCAACTGGAACGAATAGGAATTCGGCAGAACCATCATTTTTGAAGTTTGTTGTCGAGGAACCAGACTTTGGAAGTCAGTGTCTGCTTGTCTATACTCTAGCGCGCAGAAACAGAGATCCAAGATGCAGTATTGTAAGAGAGCACAGACGACACGAGATAGTGCCGCGTCACCCAATCGAGGCACTGAAGAATTACTTCTCTAAAAGGTCAGATACTATTGTTCGCCTTCCTCTAGGATCACTACCAGCTCCATTTTCTCTCGGAAAACTCCTTCAACATCCTTTTTCTTTCTGAGCACCCTATTTATTATAGCATCTTGCAGCGTGTAAGACAATTCTGTATGACCCTAATGCGCCATAGCCACCTACTTTTACAGTCATTAAAATATCAGACTGAATAACTAACAAGCATGCATATTATTTCGATCTTTCAGGTGGCTAAAAGCAGAACACTACCTCCTCTATTTGCTCAAACTACGAAGAGTCCACTACACAACGTGGCGGACTTATTCGTATCATTATTTGGCAAGGTTCCAGTCACGGATTTGTCCAAAAAGTGGTCGACAACGTACAAAAACTTGGAAAAAATGGCCAATGTTCTTGAGAACAACGAAAAGCTGCCGGGAGCACGGGTGTATCACACAAGGGTGTACGATATCGTCCTTGAGAACAATGTAACAAAGCAATCTGAGGTTTGTGCACTACCATTTTTTCCTCTTTTGCTCGAGTTTTCACAAAGCGGAGTATGCTGTTATTATTCTACTTCTAGGAATCCGTTGCATTTTTGGAATTTCGAGGGGACGTTTTCTGTAGAAACTAATAGTACCTAGAAACTAGCCGATGAGGATGAAAGAGAGGAGATGAAAGACGACTGCATCTCACTTTTAAAAACTGCCCATGTACTGCCTGGGGGAGGAGCGTGCATGAAAGGCGCTCTATCACTTGATCCAGTTTAGAAGTAGAGTTCGCTGCTAGGCCCTTCCAAACTAAATCTTTAGCCTCCTGACCACCTTCTCCACCCTTGTGAATTACAAAATTTGACACAATGCTCGTAAAAACGTTGATTATAAATAGTGCTAACTTCGTAAAAGAGAAGGAACTCTACAACACCGGAAACACAAGAGTAGTGCCCAACTCCAAACTTTTCTAAAGTTTCTCTGTATTTGCAGGTGCTCGTGCCGCCGTATCTACAGAGTGTGTTCGATCTTGTAAACTCGTTCAAAAATGGAGGCAATGCACGTATACTGAGTCCAAGAATAGCTCCACTTATGCCAGACAAAGCCAAGCGGAAAGGATTTCTTTCGCCTTCAGTGTTTCCCTTCTACAAAGACGACACAGAAGAACAAATAATGCCTATTCCAAAGGTAATACTATTCACTCGTACTCTTCGTAGTGCAAGAGTAAAGAGCGTGAGCAGCTAGTCGAGGGTTCTTTATGTTTTCTGTATGAGCCTATCTACTGCTACCATGGAGGCTCGAGTTAAACGAATCGGAATAGTAAATAATAGGATGGAACCTACTGAATAATTTCTTCAGCTTCTGGAGGAGACAGGAATGAGCGAAAAGGATCGTGAAAAGGTGTTCGAAATGATCATGGAGGTCAGTGGTGCCAGAGATGCGGCGGACAATGCGCTGAAGGTAAA